TGAGTTAAGGTTTCAAAGAATGAAGCACAAGAAAAGGTACCAGAGCTAGAAAGCACTTTAATAAAAGCACTACCTTGGAAGTACTTCTATTCAACTAGGGATAATTTTGGATGAAAAAAATAATAAGTGCTTATTGTATAAGCACTTAAAAATGCTGGAAATTGGGCTTAAAAAATAAGCCCTTATTTTGGGTTTATTTCCCAAACACGAATAAGTGCTTAATGGTGTGGTCCCACCCCAAATAAGCACTTATTTTTAAGCACTCCCAAAAATTGCCTTAGTCTACTTTCTCTCATTTTATTACCTATTGGAACTATTCCTAGGTTCCTTTGGATTACTTCATTTCCGATCCTATCCTTTCCAGTTTTTCCACTCATCCATCTCAGCATACCAATTTTTGCTACACACTATTTTTTGTACATGTTTCTTGACTGCCCAACACTATGCTTCATACAACATAGCTGGCCTTACAACTGTTTTATAAAATTTTCCTTTTAATCAAAATGGTATTTGCCTATCACATAAAGCTCTGGATGCACCCCTCAATTTTGCCCATCCTGCTCTTATTCTATGGGTGACATCCTCCTCAATCTTTCCCTTGTTATGAAATATTGAACCAAGGTACTGGTAAAGGTCGCATTAAGTTATCTCTCGGTCTCTAATCCTTGGTGAACTTACATATCATATTATTCTGTTTTAGTCCTACTTGTTTTAAAAACCTATTGTTTCTATGGCATTTCTCCATAAGCTTAGTTTTGCATTTACCCAACTTCTAATGTGCATTTTTTCTTGGTTAAAATTTGTTTTTAGTCATAACAAAGCAGATTTTTGTTTATATAATATTTAACTCCCTTAACCCTTTAATCGTTGAACTTTTACAGAGCGACCTAGGTGTAAAGACCAAGACCCAACTTATGGCTGAGAAGTCTGTTTTCAAGATACTCCTGATGACCATAATCGCTGCGAGTGCAGAGCCAGATCTCCATGATCCCAATGATGATTTTGTTCTCAATGTTTGTCATCATTTTGCTATGATTTTCCATGTAGATAGTTCTTCAAGTAATTCATCAATTGCTAGTGGGCAACTTGTGGGTCCAGTGCTTGCATCAACTAACAATTCCGGTTCCAGGTCAAGGACCACCACTCGTTCTAATCTCAAGGAACTGGATCCATTAATATTTTTAGATGCATTAGTGGATGTGCTAGCTGATGAAAACAGGCTTCATGCTAAAGCTGCTCTTAATGCTCTAAATGTGTTTTCCGAAACACTTCTGTTACTTGCTCGATCGAAGCATACAGGTTTACTAACCTCAAGGAATGGTCCTGGAACTCCCATGATGGTCTCTAGTCCATCAATGAATCCTGTATATTCACCACCTCCAGGTGTCCGAATTCCTGTGTTTGAGCAACTTCTGCCTCGCCTTCTGCATTGTTGTTATGGAAGCACATGGCAAGCTCAAATTGGAGGGGTGATGGGGCTTGGGGCTTTGGTTGGTAAAGTCACTGTTGAGACTCTATGTTTTTTCCAAGTAAGAATAGCACGGGGATTGGTATATGTTCTTAAAAGGCTTCCTTTGCATGCTAACAAAGAGCAGGAAGAGACGAGTCAAGTGCTTACACAAGTTCTCCGTGTTGTAAATAATGTTGATGAAGCAAACAGTGAGCCCCACAGACAAAGTTTTAAGGGAGTTGTTGAGTATCTTGCTTCAGAGTTGTTTAATCCAAATGCATCCATTATTGTGAGAAAGAATGTGCAATCATGCTTGGATCTTCTGGCAAATAGAACTGGTAGTGAGGTATCTGAGTTACTTGAGCCTTTACATCAACCTATGATTCAGCCTCTATTTTCGCGGCCACTCCGGTCCAAGAATGTTGATCAACAGGTAGAATATCTTAAGGCATTCTGATTTGCTTGTATATATCCATGTACTATCAAGGCCTTTTTTTTGCTCCACTTATTATACTCAGTATTTTCTCTGTATACAGGTTGGGACAGTCACAGCTCTGAACTTTTGCTTAGCCCTGAGGCCTCCACTTCTTAAGTTGAACCCTGATCTAGTGAATTTTTTGCAAGAAGCTTTACAAATTGCTGAGGCTGATGAGACTGTATGGGTTGTGAAATTTATGAACCCAAAAGTGACCACGTCATTTAACAAGCTTCGGACGGCGTGCATTGAATTACTTTGTACAGCAATGGCATGGGCAGATTTTAAGACACCAAATCATTCTGAATTGCGCTCAAAGATCATTTCTATGTTTTTCAAGTCTTTGACATGTCGCACACCAGAAATTGTTGCTGTTGCAAAAGAAGGGCTGCGGCAGGTTTTGTTGATTCATGTGATATTTATTAATTTATTCTTGTTGGGTAAACCACAATGGTGTTGTGTTCACTTTGGTACTGGGGCAGGTTCTTGCTTGTACTTTTAATGGGTTTCACCTGTGATATTAATTTATCACACTATCTGGCCGATATTATTTTCTATCGATAACATAATGGATGATCCCTTGATGAATATATACATCATATGCGTTCATCCATCTTAGTCACTTCCTGTATCAGGAGATTCTATAGGTGTGACCTATTAGAGTTGGTGGAACTCCTAACACATGCTCCATGGATGCTACTTTGGCATCAGGAGACCATCCTTGTAGTTATTATGGCTGACTGATCCTTTTTGGTTTCATATGGTTGTTATGACCATGGCTCAATATTTATGAAAATTTTCTTGCATTTTTAGGTTATTCAACAGCAAAGGATGCCCAAAGAACTTTTGCAGACCAGTCTCAGGCCTATTTTAGTTAACTTGGCACACACAAAGAGTCTCAGCATGCCTCTTCTGCAGGGTCTGGCACGCCTGCTTGAACTTCTGTCCAACTGGTTTAATGTCACCTTAGGTGGTAAATTGTTGGAGCACCTAAAGAAATGGTTGGAACCAGAAAAGCTTGCACAGTGTCAGAAGTCATGGAAAGCTGGTGAGGAGCCAAAAATTGCAGCAGGTGAATAATCTATTTGCATTTGGATGTTTTTCTTTGTTGGTACTACTCTGTTGTATAATAACTGCCTGCATTTCCTTTGTCATGCAGCTATCATCGAACTTTTCCATCTGCTCCCTCCAGCAGCAGGGAAGTTCCTTGATGAACTTGTGTCTTTGACAATGGACTTGGAAGCGGCGCTTCCCCATGGACAATTTTACAGTGAAATTAACAGTCCTTATCGGCTCCCACTTACTAAATTCTTGAACCGATATGCAACAGATGCGGTTGACTATTTTCTTGGTCGGTTGAGCCAGCCACGATACTTTAGACGGTAAGTTTTAAGTGATTATGGAAAGAAGTAATATGTTACTTATCAAAAAAAGTAGTCGGTCAGTATTAGTTTATAAACTACAGTCAATAATATACCTTTGTTCTTTGTATTGTAAATTTCAGATTTATGTATATAATACGTTCAGATGCTGGCCAGCCTTTAAGAGAAGAACTTGCAAAATCTGCTCAGAAGATACTTTCCAGTGCATTTCCTCAATACTTTCCAAAAGCTGAAGGATTAGTAGCATCGGGATCTAATAGTACAGTTGCAGTTTCAATGGGTGATGAAAGCCTTGGCACATCTCTGCCTGAGGGTTTTTCTAATCCACCTGCATCTGCAGGGGCCAATTCAGATGCATACTTCCATGGACTTGCTCTAATATCAGCTTTGGTTAAATTGATGCCTGATTGGTTACATGCTAATCGTGTTGTTTTTGATACTTTAGTACTTGTCTGGAAATCACCTGCAAGAATGTCACGTTTACAAAATGAACAAGAATTGAGTTTGTTGCAAGTAAGTCTTTTTCTAGGTTGATGATTTTTGTTGTACGTCTCTGTTTGTTTTTTTAATTTAGATAAATAATAAAGATTCCATTGAAATTCAAAATGGATAGAGGTTTACAAAAAGAGGGGGTTAAAAAGAGAAGTTTTAAAGGCCTTCTAGTACTCAAAAGTCCTTCTGTGATTCTCTACTTTTAGATTTCAAGAGTAGACAAATGAACACTGGGCAGAGAGACGAGATTCTCAGGGGCCAAAATGGAGCAGAACCGGGCAACACAAAAATACAACAAATGAAATTCAATATGTGAGAAGATGTATGACCAGTGGAAAAAGTATTTAACTGGTTAACTGGTCCATTCTCCAAGTCATTCATTAAGCATCTATTAGGGATTTTAGGATACTGGGTGTAAGCTGGTGGATTTGGCGCTTGTGGTCTAACCCTGAAGATCCGAGAAGAATGACAATTTGATCCAGGAAGGTTAGGGAGGAGAGAGGAGCTGGCTGGACCCTTAGAGGGGCTGCCTACATATCCTCTGGTGAGGGATCAGGCCACTGTAGTTCGCAGGTTGTGGAATTCTGGTGGAAGGATGCAAAGAATGGAGCCGCTATTTAAAAATACTTTTGGGCTTTCTGAGTCCTAGCACTTAAATTGATACAAATAGCATTGCTTATGTGAATAATTAGTTGGAACCTATTTGGTCGGACGTAGGTTTATGCCGGGTCAGCCTTGTTAATGTGCTTATATAAATCCACCGTCTTACACCAGGATCTGTGATATTAATGTTCTCTGGTAAATGCCCTATCCAAAAACCTGTGCATCCTAAATGCCTCCATGGTGGTCCATTTCACTGGCATATCATATAGGAAGAGAAAGGTAAGAAAATCTTACAGAAAAGATTGCTTTTCTATTCATGCTCTAAGAAACCTCTTCTCTTTCATCGAGGAAAATGGGAACACTCTCTAACTTTTGATGGATGTAAAGGAATTCATTTATCTTCCAACTAAAGTGTATCTCCTGAAAATTTGTTTCCAATTCACAGAGACACCCCTCATCTGAAATTATCTTAAATAAACTAGCAAATAGGGCACTGTATATTGTTCTAAGGGCCCTTGGTTAGGCCTGTTTCCTTGGTTATAGCCTTTAATTAATCATCATGCTTTTCCACCAGAAGCTTTCAAAAGGAAAGACCATTTTTTGTTGCCTGGCCACGAAGAGTTTATCCATGTTTTGTGGTGTATCACTTTGTTCCAAAGGTCCAAGTCCTGGTTATAGAAAAAATGGTTTTGTTTGAAATCTTATTCTGTTATTGCATTTGGTACTACTGCAATGTGAAAACTCTTCTGCTAACACTACCTAAGTTGAGTTGACCCTGTTTATAACAATATCATAGGTTGGTTCGTAAGAGATACTTTTTCTTACATTTAATTACCTATGTTGGACATCAGAAGTAGCAACTATAAACAATATGGTAATCAGATCAAAGAAACTTATTGAAGTGAAATAAGAAAAGGGTGTAATTTTTTATCTTGTTCAGCTGAGGAATGACAAACTGCAGATGAGCCTCTCATATTGATAAGGCAACTAGGTCAGCTGAGCAATTCTCCTAAGGAGTGGTTTTTGATTCCTGTATCAATCAAATAGGATGATCACTATGGATGCCATAGTTCTTGCTTCTCTAAATTCTAACGTTATGCTGAAATATCGAAGGCCTTTAACTGCCATACCCTGAGCAAGCCTATCACAATCTGAGACTCCCCTCACTTTTAGCTAGCATGAACTCAAGCCATAAATTTAGATGAAAATAGCAAGAACTCTAAACAAAAAGGTCATCTATGGTTGAATATCTGTGTTGTGCATTTTCATTTAATATAAATAAAGACTTTTGTACCAGCTGGTTGCTTGGCATAGCCCTTTTTTACATAGCTATTTATTTGTCCGAATGTATGCACCAATTTTGTATTAGTTAAGTGTTTTGTGATGGTTGTCTAATGAACTATATTATGATTTTGTCAAAAAATGTTGTTATCGAAAGATCTGTCTTACACTGATATTTTATTGAAAATATACAGGTAAAAGAAAGCAAATGGCTTGTAAAATGTTTTCTGAATTACTTACGCCATGATAAACAAGAAGTGAATGTGCTATTTGATATGCTCTCCATATTTCTGGTCCACACTCGCATTGATTATACTTTTCTGAAGGAGTTTTACATCATTGAGGTATATTGCAGTCAGGGTTGACTCAGTCATTTACTGTTGGTGATACTCCTTTCCTATTACTTGTTTTAGTTTGCCATTACAGTGGATCCCTGCATTTTGTTTATTCAGATCTAATTATTGTTCTTGCATTCAGGTTGCTGAGGGCTATCCTCCGAATTTGAAAAAGACACTTCTTTTACATTTTTTGCAACTTTTCCAATCAAAACAACTGGGTCATGATCAATTGGTTATCGCTATGCAAATGCTCATTCTTCCAATGCTAGCTCATGCTTTCCAGAATGGTCAAAGTTGGGAGGTTGTTGACCCTTCTATAATAAAAACAATTGTTGACAAGCTTCTTGATCCCCCAGAAGAGGTGCTTTCCCAATTATATACTAGAACTCTGTTTATGTTTCAGATGGTTCATTCCTGTTTTCTGGTTGAACTTGGTAAGGTTTCAATTGTCTATGGATGTTTTTAAGCTTTTTTATATCCTTTTCCCTTTTGTAGGTTTCTGCCGACTATGACGAACCTTTCCGAATAGAACTTCTGCAGTTGGCTACGCTGCTTCTAAAGTATCTACAAAATGATCTTGTTCATCATCGGAAGGAGCTTATCAAGTTTGGTTGGAATCATCTGAAGCGTGAAGATAGTGCTAGCAAACAATGGGCATTTGTCAATGTCTGCCACTTCTTGGAGGCTTATCAGGCCCCAGAAAAAATTATACTGCAGGTGCACTAACAAATAATATATGAATTATGAACTTAACCATTGCAGAACATGTGGATTGAACATTATATTTTTTTATTGGTAGCTTATAAGATTTTATTAAATGAAATGAAGAATAGTATGGTACAAAGGAGATTAGGATGTGCCTATCTTCTCAAATACCAGTTTAGGCTATCTTTTGCTCCCCCAATCATTCAAACATTTTAACTTGCATTCAATCAAATTTCCTGATTATTAGTCCCTGGTACAACTGATGTCTGGTCATACCCTGTGTTGCCATTGTATCACCAAAGCCGGCTGATCTTTGGATCCAAATGAAGGATGCCCTCAGCCCTCTAGCCGACCATCTCACTTCTTTCAGTGAATTCCTGTGCTCTCAAATTCCAAGACTATTACTTTTACCCAGCCAATGATTACTCTGCAGATTGACCATATATGCTAATTTCTTCCGACCTTGAAAACGTTTTGGTGGAGGACGATTTAAAAGTGGTAGTGGGCTGGCTAAAGAACAATGAGTCAGGAACATGGCTATACAGGAACATCATCAAAGAAATTTATGTACTTGCAAGGCAGCTGGAAGCAAACTTTCTATGGACCCATAAATCAGCAAATGGGTTGCCTGACCCTATGGCTTAACAGGGATGGGTAGACAGCAACTATTTTTTGGAAATATAATGGAAATGCAATGTAAAATGGATATGGGTTGAAGTTCTCTTTCAGGGTTGCAGACACACTTGTACATATCTTATACTTTTAAGACTCAATGAATAAATTTATCAGTTACCCATCAAAAAAATTTACTACTTTGTCCATGGCTTCTTGCATTTATTGTTTGGATAAAACATGGATATAGTGTTGCTGTTCCAGATGGAGCATAAATGAACAGTGATGCTGTTATAATGGAACAGTGATGCTGTTATAAATCCTTTTTTAGACAAAAAGGAATACTTCAATAACAATCCTTCGAATTGTTATTAGGATATACCGAAGCATGATAATAATGTTGCATGTTAGTGTATAATCTTTTTTTTTTTTTTTAATTTCAAATGTGTCATTAGAATATGCTGCTGGTCGGGACTCAGGAGTAAGGTTTATAGAGAAATCAACCTAGAAGATACCAAGGACTTGGAGAAGTATTTTGTATTATATTTGCGATCAACAATTGCCAATGCTTACCACATTAATTCTGTTATGTACTTTGAGTTGTAGACAAGTGTGTATTGAGAATAAAAAGGATGCCTTATTTTCTACAGTAGTACTGTTTTGCATTTTGGACCATGCCATATATTTTTATTGTTTATATAAACTTATAAAGAGATATATTATGCAATTTGATTCTTATTTTTTATTTATGTTAACAGGATTCACATTGTTGATTCCATAGGCTTAGATGATGATGAGATTCTTGTTTTTTATGCATTTAACTGGTGGCATTAAATTTTTGTGTGGCTTGGAAACTCGTTGATCCTTCTTTTCTGATGTTATTATTATTTTTATGTTCTTCAGTTATATTTGTCCTAGAAATCATGTCTGTACTAGTTTTATGGAAAGTGATATACTTTGAAGTGCAGGTTTTTGTTGCTCTTCTTAGAACTTGCCAACCAGAGAATAAGATGCTGGTCAAACAGGCCCTTGATATATTAATGCCAGCACTACCACGAAGATTGCCTTTGGGAGATTCTCGTATGCCGATTTGGATTCGATATACCAAAAAGATTCTAGTTGAGGAGGGTCATTCTATTCCTAACTTGATACACATTTTCCAGCTAATTGTTCGCCATTCAGATCTCTTCTACAGTTGTAGAGCACAATTTGTCCCTCAAATGGTAAATTCTTTGAATCGCCTTGGATTGCCTTATAACACAACTGCAGAAAATAGGCGCCTTGCTGTTGAACTTGCTGGATTGGTTGTCGGGTGGGAAAGGCAAAGGCAAAATGAGATGAAAGTAGTTCCTGATCCAGAAGGTCCTAGCCCAAGTGCTGATGCATTTAATCCAGTATCTGTTGGCAGTGACCCAAAACGTCCATCAGAAAATTCTGCATTCCCTGATGATCTAAGTAAACGAGTAAAGGTGGAACCCGGTCTTCAGTCTCTTAGTGTTATGTCACCTGGTGGTGTATCATCAATCCCAAATATAGAAACTCCTGGATCTACTGGTCAACCTGATGAAGAGTTCAAGCCTAATGCTGCCATGGAGGAAATGATTATCAATTTTCTCATACGAGTGAGTCGTCTTAACCTTACCTAAACTTATCTTTGAAATGCTATGATTCTGCTTTGAAATAAGCAGAAGGGTTGAAGATTGCCATGCTGAAAGATTTCCATTATATTTCCTCTCCTTGCATCCAAATAAATCTATCTGCTTCTACATTGAAAGGAATGCAGCCTTCATGATTTCAATATTATTTGGTTTTTATGAATATGGGTTTGCTCCTCACACCAACCTCAGCACTTGCAGCCACACATTGGGAACATCTCCTGTACTTTTATGTTGTCATTCATGGGGAGATGTTCCCAATGCAAGGGTGCAACATGCCATGAGGTTGGTGTGAGGAGCAAATCCGAATTCAGGTGAGGTGCATTTTAGTGTGTAGTCCTTGGCTAGGTCCTGGGTGCAGCACTTTCAAAAGGCACACACCTAGTGCGCCTAGGTGTGTTCCTGATGTGCCTTGCAGCTCAGCCCAGGCATGCACCTTTTTAAAATTTTATGCTCTGTTCATTCATTCATCTTAATAAAATATCTTCTTAAAAGGCAATTAAAATTATAAAATCATTATTTTTTGTGTGAGAACTAAGAATTCAAGACCCTAATGTGGATTTGATTGGGCTTGCCTTGAGGGTCTTGGTATAAAGGTGGCTCGTAGAATCAGGAATGCAATATGTTTTACATCACATTAGCTACTTGAAATAATGAAATTGAGGAAAAAAAGAGATTGTGGGTTTTACATGCTTGAAAATGTTTTATATGTTTGATTTTATTTTTAAATTCTCATTTGAATATGATTTACATTTTATGTTTATGTATTTTAATTTTAGATAATAATTTTTTAAAACATTTATTGTAAAATTCAAGTTTATATTTTTTATTAATGTTATGTTTAATATTTTTTTTATTTTTCATTTTTTGGCTTTTTTTATTTTTTGTACTTTTGTGCCTTGCTTAAAAAAAGCGGGCGCCTCGCCTTGCCCCTTGTGCCTCGGGCACAAATTTCCCCTTGTGCTTTTTTTTGCGCCTTCAATTTTGCAACACCGGTTGAAATCTAAAATGAAATGAGTCATTTCTTGAAATTCTGTAATCACCTCATTCCAATCTTTCCTCAATGATTGGAAATTGCTTCATTTTAAATGAAGTTCTTTTTTTTTAACTTATCTCATATGCAATGGAAAACACAAAGGAAACCAAGCCTTGGACAATAGTTATTGTTGGGCATATCTGTCTAAAAGTCTTTCTTCAGTTTCAAGTTAAGCAAAACAATAACGCAATAATTGACAACTTTTCTTGAATGTGTTGGTCGCTTGTTAGATTTGTTTTGACATTGTGTTTCAACTGATGAAAAATCTATTAACCTGTAGTCATTCTCTACCTGTAGATTCTTTGGGTGGTTCTGTTGGGGTGCTTGTGTTGACATGGAGTAGAACTTTTTTCAGGTATAAAATTTGTACAAGTAATAAGAGTTTGGTTGTATTTTCTGGAAATAGGTGGCATTGGTAATAGAACCCAAAGATAAGGAAGCTAGTTCTATGTATAAGCAAGCCCTGGAGCTACTATCCCAAGCTTTGGAGGTGTGGCCAAATGCCAATGTTAAATTCAATTATTTAGAGAAGTTGTTGAGTAGCCTTCAACCATCTCAATCGAAGGATCCAGCAACAGCTCTGGCACAGGGCCTGGATGTTATGAACAAGGTCTTGGAGAAGCAGCCTCATTTGTTCATCCGAAACAACATCAACCAGATCTCTCAGGTACATTCTGGCAGGGTAATTTTTCTTTTACTAGTTTGAGCAATATCCAATACTTTCTTCATAATATTACTGGTGTTTGTGTTGCAGATACTTGAGCCTTGTTTCAACAATAAAATGTTGGATGCTGGGAAGTCTCTGTGCTCCTTGTTGAAAATGGTTTTTGTGGCTTATCCTCCAGAAGTTGCTAATACACCACAGGATGTGAGGATGTTGTATCAAAGGGTTGAAGAGCTTATACAAAAGCATCTTGCTGCAGTGACTGCTCATCAGATATCACTTGAAGTTACTTCTGCTAACTCCATGATTAGTTTTGCACTCTTTGTGATTAGAACATTGACAGAGGTGCAGAAGAACTTCATTGATCCTTTCATTTTGCCATTGGCTCGTGTGCTTCAACGCCTTGCACGGGATATGGGATCAGCTGCAGGTTCTCATTTGAGACAAGTATGGCATTGTTTGATTTGAAACATCTTTTCCTTCAAATTAATAATGTAAATTTTTAGTAGTTAGTTATGAATTGTGAATTTCGTTATTCACATATTTAACAAGGGTTTGCTCGTTTATTGCCAATGCCAATAATTTTCTTAGAGTGACCATTTTCGCCTAGACAAGGTTTTGCTCGTTCATCTATTCTGGAATTAGTTGATGGGCACATTGACCTGAATATGAGATTGTTCTTTGGTCTTTTTAGTTTAGTTTGCCTCTTAATTTTATGTGCGGTGAGTTGCTTTTCATGTAGTTAGGGTAAGGTCAGTCTTACCACAGCATGTCCTGATGCACAGGGGTTGGAACTTAGCTTACACTTTTCGTTAACTCTCTCATGCCAAAAAGAAAACTTGATTTGGGATCAGCATGTCTGTATATTCTCTTTTCAACAGCAGCATAGCAAATGTCCTGGATAAACATCATACATGGGGAAATCTACTATTAGGCAATTGGTTAATTTCTGATGTGGGATCTCATCAAGTGGGCCCATTAAATGGTTTGCCTCTTTCATCCATTATACCACATCATAATAATCATAACCAAATATTTCTTATACAGAATTATTTTGTAATCTTCATATGATGTTGCAATTTCCTTACTTGATTGGTCAGTAGTGATTTACAATATTATATTACTTTTTCTTTAATTGTTATTGAAGGACATTAAAAATTGGTTGTGATACTAAATTTCAGGGTCAAAGACCAGATCCCGATTCTGCAGTTAGTTCTTCTCGTGCTGTTGCTGACATAGGAGCAGTCACCTCTAACTTGAAATCTGTGCTCAAACTTATCAGTGCCAGGGCTATGACTGTTCCAGATTGCAAGAGATCTATAAATCAAATACTAAGTACATTATTGTCAGAGAAGGGTACAGATGCGAGTGTGCTACTCTGCATTCTTGATGTAATAAAGGGATGGATTGAAGATGACTTTAGTAGGACAGCTGCATCAAGTACGCCAGGTGCTGTTCTCACTCAGAAGGAGATAGTTTCTTATCTTCAAAAATTGTCGCAAGTTGATAAGCAGAACTTCACCACTGATACTCTAGAAGAGTGGGACAGGAAATATCTTGAGCTTCTTTATGGAATTTGTGCCGATTCAAACAAGTAAGTGTTTTATTTGAGCTCATTTATCACATTCGCTTACCTGGATGTTAGTTTTATGAATTGATTGGTTGCTAGATATCCCCAATCCTTGCGGCAAGAAGCTTACCAGAAAGTAGAAAGACAATTTATGCTTGGCCTTAGGGCAAAAAATCCTGAGGTTAGGCAGAAATTCTTCTCTCTCTATCATGAGTCCCTTGGAAAAACATTGTTCACAAGGCTGCAGTTCATCATCCAAATCCAGGACTGGGAAGCACTAAGTGATGTCTTTTGGCTGAAGCAAGGTCTTGATCTTCTTCTTGCAATCTTGCTTGAAAATGAACCTATCACACTTGCTCCAAACTCTGCTCGAGTACCCCCACTCATGGCCTTGGGGAGTCTGACAGAGCGTTCTGGGGTGCAACAACAGGCTACTGATGTACCTGATGAAGGAGGAGGTCCTTTAACACTCGATAGCCTTGTGTATAAGCATGCCCAGTTTCTAACTGAGATGAGCAAACTTAAGGTATTAAATCCATGTTTTCCTTCTGATTTATTTGTCTTAACTGGAGCTTTTAAGTGCACAATAATTGTTGGTCAGCATGCTTCTGACATCTTTTAGATAATGTCACAAGTCCAAAGGTAAACTCACCCAGTTGGATGGATACTTGGCTTGACAATTGGTTGGTGGTGGATCTCATGTTATTGCACAATGTCTCTTTGTACTAGTTGATGTTGATTGACCATCTTTGGGGTTGTACACCAAGAAGATTCCTTTATTTTGTATTTGGCTGAATTATTTAAGTTCTAATTGTTCATTTTCTTGTAGGTGGCTGATCTAGTTATTCCTTTGAGAGAGCTGGCTCATACAGATGCTAATGTTGCATACCATATGTGGGTACTGGTTTTTCCTATTGTCTGGGTGACTCTTCACAAGGAAGAGCAGGTGGCTCTAGCGAAGCCAATGATAGCTCTCTTGTCAAAAGATTACCACAAGAAGCAGCAAGCAAGCAGACCTAATGTTGTGCAGGCACTTCTAGAAGGCCTTCACTTGAGCCATCCTCAACCTCGGATGCCAAGTGAACTCATAAAATATATTGGAAAGACTTACAATGCTTGGCATATCTCATTGGCTCTGCTTGAAAGTCATGTTATGTTGTTCATGAATGACACAAAGTGTTCTGAGTCTCTTGCTGAGCTTTATAGGTTACTCAATGAAGAAGACATGAGATGTGGATTATGGAAGAAGAGGTCAGTTACTGCAGAAACCAGGGCTGGGCTTTCACTGGTTCAGCATGGTTACTGGCAGCGTGCTCAGAGCCTCTTTTACCAAGCCATGATTAAGGCAACACAAGGCACTTACAATAACACTGTCCCAAAGGCTGAAATGTGCCTGTGGGAAGAGCAATGGCTTTATTGTGCTAGTCAACTTAGCCAGTGGGATGTGTTGGTAGACTTTGGCAAGAGTGTTGAGAATTATGAATTACTATTGGATTGCCTATGGAAAATTCCAGATTGGGCATATATGAAGGATAATGTAATTCCAAAGGCTCAAGTGGAAGAGACTCCAAAGTTGCGATTAGTCCAGGCCTTTTTTGCTCTTCATGATAGAAATACAAATGGTGTTGGAGATGCTGAAAACATAGTTGGAAAAGGTGTTGATCTTGCTCTGGAACAATGGTGGCAATTGCCTGAAATGTCTGTTCAGTCCCGAATACCTCTTCTGCAGCAATTTCAACAACTAGTTGAAGTTCAAGAATCAGCTAGGATTATAGTTGACATTGCCAATGGAAGCAAGCAACTTTCAGGAGGTACTGTCGTGGGTGTTCATACTGGTGGTTATATGGATCTCAAGGACATCCTTGAGACTTGGCGGCTAAGAACTCCAAATGAATGGGACAATTTGTCAGTGTGGTATGATTTGCTTCAATGGAGGAATGAAATGTATAATGCTGTCATAGATGCTTTCAAGGATTTTGGAAATACAAATTCTCAACTTCATCATCTTGGTTACCGTGACAAGGCATGGAATGTTAATAAGCTTGCTCACATTGCCCGTAAGCAAGGCCTTTACGATGTTTGTGTGACAATTCTTGAAAAGATGTATGGGCACTCAACCATGGAAGTGCAGGTAAGGGAAACCTTTGTATAATCATGTCAGAACAGATGGGAAAAAAAGCTATTACCCCCATCTCTCTGTTAAAATTGGTCACCTATCTGGGGATGTTGACATCCACCATTCAGTGAATTGACTGAGGAAAGTTATTGGTCTATAATTGACTTGGCCATCTGTATCATCTGGGTGACCAGAAGAAGTGTGCCAATTGACCTTGAGTTGTGTTAGTAAGATCTAATTGGTTTCATTTTCAATTATTAGTAAGATGTATTCTTGATAGGCCATATTGAATGGTTGCGTCCAACCCTTTGGTGAATGTTGCATTCATACTCGGATGCATGATTACTTTGTAATATGTCTATTTACAATAAGTCTTTACCATCAATTTCTTTTCTGTACTTTGTTATTTACTTTTTATTCCCTTTGAGTTATTGACTTTTAGGCATTTGCTTCTTCAGAATGTTTAATTTGTTTATATATGCAGGAGGCCTTTATAAAAATTAGTGAACAAGCAAAAGCTTATCTTGAAATGAAGGGCGAACTTACTAGTGGCCTTAATTTGATAAACAGTACCAATCTGGAATATTTTCCTGCAAAACACAAAGCAGAAATTTTCCGTCTCAAGGGGGACTTTCTATTGAAGCTAAATGACTGTGAGAATGCTAATCTTGCATATTCCAGTGCCATCGGCCTCTTCAAACATTTGCCTAAGGGATGGATAAGCTGGGGAAATTATTGTGATATGGTATTCTTTTCTTTCTTATCAATGCATCATGCCTTTGTTGTTGCTCATAGATGACAGTGACCTGATGACTAATCTGCTGCCTACTCATCCCAGGTTTACAAGGAAACCCATGAAGAAATTTGGTTGGAGTATGCAGTGAGTTGCTTTCTTCAAGGCATCAAATATGGGGTCTCTAACTCAAGGAGCCATCTGGCTCGTGTCCTCTATCTACTTAGTTTTGATACTGCTAATGAACCTGTTGGAAGATCTTTTGACAAGTACTTGGATCAAATTCCACATTGGGTTTGGCTTTCTTGGGTCCCTCAGCTTTTGCTTTCCTTGCAAAGGACAGAAGCACCTCATTGTAAACTTGTTTTATTAAAAATAGCAACTGTCTACCCACAGGTAACTAACTGTAACCGAGGAAATATTGATATCCAACACAGTATTCTGAAAATTAGTTCTTGTTATATTGATACATGCTTTTTGTAGGCCTTGTATTATTGGTTGCGTACATATTTGCTTGAACGTCGTGATGTTGCCAGTAAGTCTGAACTGGGAAGGCTGGCAATGGCTCAGCAACGTATGCAACAAAATATCTCTGGGGCTGGTACAGGTTCTCTAGGTTTGGCTGATGGAAATACTAGGGTACAGAGTCATGTTGGAGGTGCTATAAGCTCAGATAATCAGGCTCATCAAGCTCATCAGTCTGGAAGTCTTGGTGGGTCCCATGATGGTGGCAATTCTCATGGACAAGAACCTGAGAGGACCACAGGTGTTGAAGGTGGTCCACATGCTGCGCATGACCACACCCAACCTTTACAACAAGGCTCGTCAACCATAAACGAAGGTAGTCAAAGTGCATTAAGGCGTAGTGGTGCACTTGGATTGGCAGCTTCTGCTGCTAGTGCATTTGATTTAGCAAAAGATGTTATGGAGACTCTTAGGAGCAAGCATACAAATTTGGCTGGTGAACTAGAGGTGAGTTGACATAATAATTTTGCTTTCGTTGTGCCTAGTGATGTAGTTTAGCCCTACCTGGAATTTGTTATGCATGTAGTGGCAAATCTTTCTCCTAGTTGGTCTTGCTCCATTTATGTAAAATGCTACAAGGAGAATGTGTCTGATATGGCAAAGCGTGTCATAAGTATACAAAGAAGAATCTGAGGTTAGCAAGCAGCAACTACAAGAAAGGTTTTCGGCTTACTCTGCTTGTTATTGTAGGAATTTTCTCCTTTTTTTTTATTCCATGTCATTTTTGAGACAACCAATGAGATGCTCACCTTCCCCATAAAAAAATTATCTAAAATCTTTGTCTCTCTATCTCTCTCTCTCTCCCCTACAAGTTCCCAATAACCTAAATAATCTCTTCTCCTAAAATTTCTCTTAAACTACCTCCCCCACTATCCCCCACCTTCTCCTAAATTATCTCTAATTCCTATTTATCCTCTCCCTCACTTTTTATCTATATCTATATAAAAAAAAGTTTGAATTAAAAAATTTAATAATTATTTAAATATTCTAACGAACTTATATAATATCTTTAAGCTATTTATTAAAAACACAAAAATTAATTATAATATATTTAATAATATTATTTTATTAATAATTTTATACTTTTACAAAATTCACCATGAAATTATGTACTAACAATATAAATTCTGATTTTTTGGATTGTTCAATTTAAATGTTATTCAAATAATAAAAAATTAACATTAAAAAAATAAAGTATTATTTAAATATTTAAATAACTAAATATCTTAAACAAAAAATACTAAAAATAGCTAAATAATTATATAACAATTAACAAAATATTAATTATTATGCAATAACTTTAAATTAAAATCGAAACAACGAAATTATTTAAATATTTTGTATATTATATAAATATTTAAATAACTAAATAATTTAAATAATGAAATATTTAACATAACTAGATTTTAAATAATAATTTATACTATTATTACATATTTTCGTTTAAGTTGTAGGTTGTTTGACCAACCAAATTGACCTGGTCAGGTTGGGGAGTTGGTCACCTAAAAGTGATTGACTATTAGTGAAAACTGGCCAACTCGGGTTGTATCATTTTGGACTGATTTTCAGTTTGGTTGGTCAGTTCAAAAGACTTAAACTTAAAAAATTACAATGGCATTATAAAAAAATAATTTAAAGATTAAATTTATGATATAAAATATTTTAGACTAAGAATTATGGGAACTTTCCCACTTTCACGTATTAAAAAATTATATTTAAAATATAAAATATTAATATATATCTATGGTCGGGTCATTTGATTTTGGTTGGTTTACAAATGGCCAAAGCAAAACTGATCCAAAAACGACCGAAAATACTAGAAAACCAACCTACTCGGGTTGAGTTGGTTGGTTTCATCAGTCTTATGAACAACCCTAGCTAAAATAAAATTATTGTTATTTTTTTGTACTATAAAAAATATTAGAAGTAGTATATAAAATATAAATAAATATTAATTATTTAAAAAGTTAAAAATATAATACAATTGTATACTCTTATGTGTTTCTATTGCTTAGCTTTCGCTTAACAAGGGTTCTCGCTAGTTATCCTATATGAGACACATTCTCCTGTTTAAACATACTCACAGATAGACACCTTGTATTTATTTCCTCTCTCTATTCCCCCCCCCCTCCCAAACACACACATGCTACTCTTTTCTCCATCCTTCTATATGACTTTTTAATATACGAATACTACTGCCTCATTAACCAAACAATTCATTGTTTTGTATGTCTTTTTTATCAATATTTTGTACTGTCCTTCCACTGTGTATGTGCGTCTATTTACCGTTAACCATTTTTGTCATCAAATAGATAGGGGTGCAAATGGGTCAGGTCATGATCTGATCCGAGATCCGATCCTATTTGGTCGAATTTGGATTACCCCTGGTTGGATCTTCGTATCGAATTTGGATCACCCTATCCAATCCTATCTGATCTGATATGTTATATATTTATATATATATATAATGCATATATATGTTATTTATTTATAAATATTATATTGTATTTTTATAAATTTGTTATATTATTTATTTTTATAAAAAGCGCATATAAATGATGAAAATAATTAAAAAATACTTGTATTTTTGTTTTTCCTTTTTTTTCTTTTAATAATTTATTAATTTTTAAAGATAACAAGTTGGATCAAATCAGATCTGAAGATCCAATAGAATTCAGATCGAGTCCTATCAGATCCGATCGGATCTGATCTGACATGAACAGTGTTGGATCGGATTCGAACATACCCTGATTCGAATCCAATCTGATCTGTTTGCATCCCTACAAATAGAACTTCTCTAATTTGACACCTGATGGTTTAATTCCACTTCCACCGTGCACCCTCATCTTGTTAATTCAGTCTGACATGCTTGAAATATACAGAGAGAAGTGACCAATGTATCAGAAGGACCATAAGAATGATTGGCCAATGGGCGTCATCTTTGTCTGTCTTTAAATAACAATGTTTACATGCCTGCCTTCATGTCTGGTGGGCAATTTTGCAAATACTGAATAGGCTTTTTATATGTCATTATTCTGAGTAATTTAACTTTATCAATTCAGCTTGTAGTTATTAAAGGATTGCTGTCATTTGCAGACTCTGCTTACAGAAATTGGCTCTAGATTTGTTACTCTGCCTGAGGAGAGACTTCTGGCCGTGGTCAATGCTCTGCTTCACCGCTGTTACAAGTATCCAACTGCCACTACTGCAGAAGTTCCTTTATCTCTGAAGAAAGAGCTCTCTGGTGTTTGCAAGGCTTGTTTTTCAGCTGATGCTGTGAATAAGCATGTTGATTTTGTGAGGGAGTACAAACAGGACTTTGAACGTGATCTTGATCCAGAAAGCACAGCTACTTTCCCTGCTACCCTTTCTGAACTTACCGAGCGACTGAAGCACTGGAAAAATGTTCTACAGAGCAATGTTGAAGACAGATTCCCAGCTGTATTAAAGCTGGAAGAAGAAAGCAAAGTTTTGCGTGATTTTCATGTTGTTGACGTTGAGGTTCCAGGGCAGTATTTCACTGATCAGGTAAGTTGATTGACTGAAATTTTGAACTCTCCTTAACTATGAAATTAGGTAAGTTAAGTTGACTTCTCTATCTCTTATAAGCAACAAAGGAATTCAACTAAAGTTAATGACGAAGAGAAATAAAACCTCATAAGGATGATATTGATAAAAAAAACAAATAAGGCAAAAAAGAAACTCACAAGGATGAGGTCCCAAGGGAACAAAGAAAGCCCTACCACATTGGGCTCCAAAACCAGAAGCATTTGTCATATCCAATACAAAGTTGATTAAATTAAAACCTATGCAGGCCTTAGTTTTTCAAAATTGTACTTAAACCCATAAAGTATTTGGACCCATATTTAGAACTGACCCAGAACTCCTGTGCCCTGTGTATTCAAAGGGAAGGCCAGTGCACAAGGCTCCTGCCAATGCGGGGCCTGGGGAAGGATATGCAGCCTTGCCCCTGCACATATGGGGAGGCTGTTTCCAAGATTTGAACCCTGGTCACCCAGGGTGCAATGGAGCAACCCAACCATTGCGCTAACGCCCACTCTTTATGCCCTGTGTATAATGTTTTTTTTTTTTTTTGAATGCATTGTTTGTCATCTATTAGTGCATTTTTTTATATCATCTATTGAATTTCAGGAAGTTGCACCTGATCATACAGTGAAGTTAGACAGAATTGGAGCAGATATACCAATTGTTCGACGGCATGGGAGCAGTTTCCGCCGCCTGACTCTCATTGGCTCTGATGGCTCTCAGCGTCATTTTATTGTTCAGACATCTTTGACCCCCAATGCCAGAAGTGATGAACGTATACTGCAGCTTTTCCGTGTAATGAACCGAATGTTTGACAAGCATAAAGAATCAAGGCGTCGCCACATTTGCATCCACACCCCAATAATCATCCCTGTTTGGTCCCAGGTAACATTTCTCCACCTGCTACCATTCTCGTCCTGTTGATCATTTTACTTGGAAATCTAAAGAGTTCAATAGTTGGTAGAAAATTACTAGCTGTGGTATGAGTATGATTTCTTGTATACTGAATTTGGAACCTGCTCATTGTGGGTTTTTCCAAGCAGTTTTTCTTGTTCAAAATCATCTAAGTGGATTAGGGTGGCAAGACACATCCCTAATATGACAAACGGGGTACCATTCTGATTATTAGCCTTCAAGCACTCTTGAAAGGATGAATATATTCCTATGATCTATTACTGTAAATCGTTTATCTTCAGTCCTTTTCACTGGGAAGTGATCCTTTTATCAAAATGCAGTGCGCCCAAATTACCATATTTAATCTATTTTAACCATGTGTAATATATACAAAAAAAATCAGTTTTAGCATTGTGTTTTATATACTTTTTTTCTGTTATTATGGTTATCATGACTATTCCTAGTGGATCTCTTACAAATGGTTGACCTTGGCTGGCTTCATATATTGCACGTCTATGGCAAAGGCAAACGGGACAGTTGCTTCGCATTCCTACTGTTTTCATTTTCCCCCTTTTTATGCATTATGAGAACCAGTTGCTGCTTGTTCCAGGTCCGAATGGTAGAGGATGATTTGATGTATGGCACCTTTCTTGAGGTCTATGAGAACCACTGTGCACGGAACAATCGAGAGGCAGATCTCCCAATCACACATTTTAAGGAACAATTAAACCAGGCTATCTCAGGCCAGGTTTCTCCAGAAGCTGTTGTGGACTTGCGCCTGCAAGCATATAATGACATCACCAAGAACCTTGTCACTGACAATATATTCTCACAGTACATGTATAAAACTCTTCTGACTGGCAACCACCTATGGGCTTTCAAAAAGCAATTTGCTGTCCAACTTGCCCTTTCAAGTTTCATGTCCTTCATGTTGCAAATTGGTGGAAGGACCCCAAACAAGATTCTGTTTGCTAAGAACACTGGCAAAATATTCCAGACTGACTTCCATCCAGCTTATGATGCAAATGGAATGATTGAGTTTAATGAACCAGTGCCTTTCCGACTGACAAGAAACATGCAGGCTTTCTTTTCCCATTTTGGGGTGGAAGGTTTGATTGTGTCTGCCATGTGTTCTGCAGCCCAAGCTGTGGTTTCACCTAAGGTGAATCCTATCTTAAAGTTTATGCCAACAGAGATTTTGTTCTAGCTTATCAACTGCTGAAACGTTTTGTGGAATTTTCTTTCTTGCAGCAAAGTCAGCACTTGTGGCACCAGTTAGCTATGTTCTTCCGTGATGAGCTTCTTTCTTGGTCTTGGAAAAGACCACTGGGAATGCCCTCGGCCCCAGTTGCTGTAGGGGGTAGCTTGAACCCTACGGAATTCAAGCATAAAGTTACCACTAATGTGGAGCATGTAATTGGCCGGATCAAAGGAATAGCCCCACAGTACTTCTCTGAGGAGGTAAAACATATTTGCAAATTATTTCTCTTTAAGGAATAGCACATGGACATGGTAGCTAGGGATGGCATTCACCTGCATTAATTCTAGAAGGTTTGGAGCATTGATTTTAGTGATCATTTGTGTTAGTCTTGTCTTCTGGGGAGATGGCCTAAAATATTTGTTAGGTGCACTCCAAAGTGGTCCATATTGATCCTTGGGAAATGCCAGTCCATTTGGACTTGCTAGCTGAAGTAAGAAGATTCAAGCTTGACAGATTAATAAAAACAAAAACGAGAGATTTGTTTTTAAGAGCCAAAAAATAGGATGGTTGGCCCTCCTCCTTTTCTTTTAGTTATGTAACATAATGGGAAATAGTCATGATACGCTCATACACCTCATGTTAGTTATTTGCTTGTTCTTGTTCTTTTGCTCTATAGAACACCTCCCAATCTCCCATGCATGCGTGTCCATTGGTTGGCTATTTTCTATTTTGTGGTCCAACCAAACTCCAAAAGGTTGATTTACCCTTTGACAGTGCTGGGGGAAGAACTTGGGCATTTATCCTCATTTGGTATTTTTTTGTGGGGTTTGTATGCTATTTCAGGAAGAGAATGCCATGGATCCACCGCAGTCGGTACAGAGAGGTGTGACCGAGCTAGTTGAAGCTGCCTTGACTCCGAGGAACTTATGCATGATGGATCCGACGTGGCACCCATGGTTCTAACTGCTAGTGCTAACCCACTTTCCGGATTGTATGTCAAAGCATTTGTAGCTGTCTTAAAAGTATGATGATCATCAGCAGTCATCGCTTTTGTAATTTACTAATTTATACACATGTACATTTTTCTGTACATATATATCAGTTTTAGAAGTGATGTAGATTGTAGAACCTTGCAAGTTTTATACGCGTTAAAAAATCCATGGGTGTACGAAGTACGAACTAAGAATCGCCTAAAAAGCCCGACAAAAAAAAAAAAAAGTTATTTTGTATGTTATTCTTATGCCTGGGTTTATTTTTCCGGAAAATTTTGATTTTCCTCGTATCATTTAAAACCCCCCTTCCTCAAAATTTATTTTTCATAACTCTAACTTTATTAGAAGATTTAGTTGAAAGCGGCATGCTGAAGAAAAATCTGTAGTTACGCTCTTATTGGTGGCAAGAGAAAGATGGTTTTTTTTTTCTGATAATGGAGAAAAATGGTAGGGTTGTGATATCTTGAAAGATTCAAAGTATTGTTTATCAAAAAAAAAAAAAAAGATCCAAAGTACGCATCTTAGGAAAGTAATATGAATGTCGTTATTATTATTAAAAAAAAGTTATTTTAATAACATGAATAGCCAATATGGATACCGGCGCCAACATTAATAAAAAAATTAAGACTGGAACTAATTATTATCAAAAAATTGAAAAATTTTATAAAAAAGACTTTTTTTATCTCACGATTCATCAAGAAATCAACCCATCCAATAAAAAAAAAAACCTTTTTGATTGGATGGGAAGGAACTTTGGTTCTTTCCAGAATTACTACTACTTTATGATATATATAAGATTAAACCATGGGGCATACCAATCAAATTACTTCTTTTAAATTGGAATAGAAATGAAAACGTTAGTGAAAATAAAAACATCAACGAAAAACAAAAAAAGGATTTTCGTATATCACGTATATCATCTAATGAAAAAAAAATTATTGAATTAGAAAATCAAAATCAAGAAGAAAAAGGACCGCCAGGCCAAGGGGATCTTGGACCAGATGTGCTTTGGTTTGGTTTGGTTGGTTGGTTAAACCGAGCCATTGACAGCCCTAAATAGGTATGGCGCTTCTCAAATCACTGGGCCCTTGTGTTTGAAACTATGGGTTTGTGTTTGCATAAGTTAGTGATATTTAGAGTTTCAAAATGACATAATATTGGTTCCAGAATAGAAAAATGACTCATAAAAAAAATGAAAAATGACTTAAAAAACGCCTAAATACAGAGATAACACCACCATAATTTTTCTTAGCGGTGTGACTTCTACAGTTCTATACTTCTCTACGTTGATATGCTTTAGGCTCGTAGTGCCATTATCCATGGTATTAAGGCTTCATTGGGCATTCTTTATTTTAATGATTTATTTCCTTTTTGTGGTTAAAATGTCCTTATAAACACTGATTTTTAACTGTCAAAGGCAATAAGTTCTTAAAATAGGAATGCCAAATGCAGCCTAAATGGCATTGCCAACTTCATTCACCTACTCTTGTTAAAAATTGTAAAGTAGAACCAGTGATTTTGAACGTTGTTGGCCCAGAAGGTCAGACCATTTGGCCCAGGAACCGTTCAGGCAACCGATTTTGTTTTATCCTAAACTTGGTCATCGGTCAAAAATCATTGAATTAGTTATCAATCTACTGACCCGAACAATCGAACCATTGACCCATTTGACCTGTAAAATGATTTTAGCTGTTTTTTATTTTAATTATTTTTTATTTTTTTAAGTTGGAATGGGCCATCCATTTGAACCAGACAGCTGAACCTTTGACCTAAAAACCAGTGGCCAGAATGATTCCAGTTCTAGGTCGCTTTTTAAAACCATGAGTTCGAACATCCACAGAGAAAAGTCGCTGAAGTGGGAACAAAACTCTCTCTCTCTCTGTCTCTCTCTCTACTGTCTATTTCAGTGTCAGTTTAATAGGGGCGATCATGGGCTGGGCTGGGCTTTTCATCTATGGTAAGGTGATGAGGGACAGCTTTGACCCGGCATGGTTTTGGGTCTAAAGTTTTTGTTTATAAAATATTAAATATGTATAATTTTTATATTATATATATATAAAATATTATATGTAATATGTATTATAAGTTTCATATTATAATATTCATATATGATGCATAAGATATAACATAAAAACATATACAGAAAACTATACGCAGGCTGGCCAGGCTCAAATTGGGCCTAACTTTGAAATTTTCTGTCTTTAGGTGGACCCAGGCCCGGCTGGGTCTAAACACAAATCTAGGCCTAGGCCCGAAATTTTTGGACAAGACCAGGCTGAATATAATTACGATTTACCCCTAATGTCAAGGACTGAGCTTTGGGCAGCCAATCTTTGGGAGTGCTTCTCCATTCTCCAATGTGCTTTTTGTGTTGAAGAAGCCAAAAGTCAGTCAAAAATTGTTTGGTGAAAAAGCTCAGAACAAACTTTTTACATCAAGAAAGACTAACTAAAAAAAAGCAGCAAGCAGCAAAAAACTCCATTTTAGCCTTTGTATTTGCAATAAGCTAATTTGAACAGAAAATGGTGATTAGTCAAACATTAAATACATATAAAATAATATAAAATACAAGGTTTTGTGCTTTATATATTTGTATTTGTACTCCTTTCAAATTGAGCTTAAACAAGTACCTTCTAAAAAAATGATTCAAAGATAAGCCTGTTTAGGCCCAAAAAAACACTCCAAAATACGGCCTGAATTTGATGGATCAATGTGAGCTTTCACATGGGATAGTTTTAGATTTTTGGATTTTGCTTAAAACTTGAGCTTAATCTTAATCAAGGAGCTTGGGTTAGGTTCAGGCTTTGGCTCTTGAGTATTCTGTGCCCAAAGCGAGCAATGAATTTGGCCAAGCTCATACACAAATGGGTAACTCAGATCTTGACCTAGAGAACTCAAGATATAGGGTAATGAAAATTCCATAAATCTAGATTCCATTCACACTTTTATAAATAATAAAAATATAAATATAGATTGATTGGAGAGAATGACTGCAATAACTTTTTTTTGGCATTCGGATATTCTCTATACAGCCATGCGCTCGTGCTTTTTAAGTAAATGAAGTTTCTTCGAATTTATTGGCTATGAGATGGGCATACTCATGTAATGGTAGTTAGTTAGATTTGCTATATATGAAAGAAGGAAGTATTTGATGGGGGCCTTTAGTTGAGATCATGGCCATGGCCATCGTTGTTACAGACCATGACTATGGTTTTTAGAACTGGACTGGATCGGATCGGATGGTTGAACTGAAAAAAATGGGAACTGGTCAGATGACTGGTTCAGTTTTTCTCCAAAACCATTATTTTACTAACAACCGTTAATTTGTTCAACAAATCATTGATCGATATACAAGGATTGATGAGTGTACTTGCATCATGGATGTTAGCTCGGTTTCTTATATAATAAGAATAAGAGAGCCCTTCCCAAGTATGTAATCTGGATTTTGACGGAGATCATGGTTGTAGTTGTCGCAATGGTTACCTTTAACGTAGATTCGCACTCAAGGTGCTATCGCATGCTTCGGAGCGAAGGCTTCTTTCGTGACTGCTCCCCACTGAAGTCCACGAGGAGATTTTAAGCATTTAGGCTGTGCTTGTTTTCAGTGCGAAGTTTTTTTGTGTTAGTATAAATGCATTGGACTGTAAATGTAAAAAATGTAAATTCTTGTTTAATTTTGTTTTAAATTTTATTTTATTTTACTTTTTGTCTTAATTTACTTTATTCGATTGTAATCAAACAAAATAAATTAAAATTTAAAACAAAAATAGGTCAGAACTTATGTTTAGTTTGAAAGGAGTACAAATACAAATATATGCATTATAAATACATACAAAATAATATAAAATATGCAGAAAAATACAGACAAACCCAATGCAGATTTCTGATTTCCTCTGCAGAGTTACAAACATTAAAAATGACAACAACCCACACTCTATGCATCCACCTCAACAGTACTGTATGCCTATAAATTCTGGCCCAGGGCTGAACCATCTTTCTTCCTAAAATACAAAGTTTTGCACTTTATATATTTGTATTTGTACTCCTTTCAAAACCTTACACTCAAATTATTTGCACTGTCATGATTTTGTATCGATGCAAATTTATTTGTGTTGCAACCAAATGCGACATTAAGGATAATTTACACGGATCCCTGTACTGTGACTTTTTCTTTGGGACAAAGACCGCCCAAATTTTAGCGTTAGACAAAGACCTCCCTTGGGTTTTATCAATTAACTTCAAAAAAGATTCTTATTTGATTGTTTATTTTTATAGGTTTATCAAACCACCAAATGATCCGCAGTCTGGTCATGGCAGCATTTTGCGAGTTCGGCAGAGACGAGAAACACATCATCGTACTTGATCGGCTCCCGCTTATTGTGACGCCCCTGTTCTTGAGACTGCAAATTTTGCTCATCTCGATTCCTCTGTTACTGCGTTTCTTGGTCTTTGCATTCTACATCACTCAAACTATCAATTGTTGTGTAGCACTTAGGCTTACTTTGGAAAGAGTGCAAATGTAAATATGTACAATACAAATTTATATAAAATAATATAAAATATAGGGTTTTGCATTCTACATTTGTGCTCCTTCCAAACTGAGCCTAATTAATCAATAATGATGCAGAAATTAATCCAATCGGCAATACTACAGCTCGGAGAGAATTGCACGAGTCCTTGGGTAAGCAACTGGAGTAACTCCTGCACTTGACTGCACGGTTGATAAGTCAGGCAACTATTAACTCTACAATTTTTTTTTTTTTTGCGTGGATAAATCTGGGTCTGAATTCATGGAATTCATGGATTATGTATAAGCTTATTCTTTCCTCCAACACGACGTAACCCAGTCAAGATTAAAGAACTAATTCAAGCACGCTAAGGGAGCAAACACACTATTGTGTGAGATAGACACTGAACTGAAGCACGGTTTTGAACGCCATGGGTCGTGTGTTGATCGGACGATGAAGGGTCTGAATCGTGGTGTATCCTTTTGCTTTCTTATATTTTCTGGTGCCTCCAACTATAGCAATCTGAGACTCTGGAGCTGCTGTTCGGTGGACACCAAAAAAACTAATGGTGTTATCCTGATGATCACCGCCATGGAATAGTGCAGTGAGTTTTTGAAAAGTAATTTATACCTACCAGGGAAGACCCCAGCTCATGTCCTTCAGTTATTTCATTGTCGATCACGGTTATTGTCCCAAACATGTGAGCTTCTGAAGAGTGGCTCCGGCTGGTATCTGGCCGGCAGCGACAAAAGGAAGGTTGTTGCCGCCATTGACCAGGTTGTTGTTTCCGTTGTTTCGAATAATGGTGCTGTTGGCGGTTGTGCCGCCAAGACCAGTAAGGCAAATTAGATGGCTTTTTCACTCTCTTCTCTTGATTTTCGAAATGGTTTTTGGGTTGTAAAACATTCTACATCTTCTCATCTCTTTCTTTTTTTTCATGAATTTCAAGAGGGTGTTGTAAAGAAAATTAGATGGTGTTCAGAAGGTATTTGTGTCATTTTACATGCTTAACATCAGTTTGCGTTTATGGACTAAATTGGCAAGTTTTGAGAGTTCAAGTACTGTAACGATATGTTTTGAAATTTAGGTATTAACTTTACAACCCCTAAAGTAGTAAAGTATAGCCTAGTATTAATATGCAATTTTCCCAACAAATTGAATAATTTCTTAATATTATTAGGAAAAATTAGGGCAGTGAATAGTGACACTTTTTTCGTATAAGTTTCCTTAAATCCCTTGCCTTTTTCCCCAGTGACATAGTACAATACTTTTTTTAATAACAATAACTAATAACTCTTCTCAAAGGTGAAGAAAACCGAGCCACCACTCAGTTGCCACCCTTCCCTCTCTTTCCCTACTTTCCTTCCAACCACAAAGGCAATTAAAAACCTCAATTTTCAAATGTGACAATTAAGTTGCTTGACCTTTCAAAAATCAAGCACCAAGTCCAGCACCGTTTATGTTGCAATGAGTGGTAAAACTACCAAAATGACCATTTTAAATTTCTTATTATACAATCCTCCATTGAATTTGTTAAATTGGCTGGAGAGAATGGTTATATTTTGATGTAGAACTCAAATTTCACCTCATCAAATGGGTTCATAAAACATATAAAAGGTAATTTTGGGATATTGAACGCACATGGCATCACATGCTTGAATAATTAAAGGAATACTAATAATTGGACTTGAATGTTAAGTTTTAAAAGTTGAGGAGGGTATTTAATAGTCACACTGGAAATTTGAGATCCTTAGTGGCATTGCCCTGAAGTATAAAGGAAATTTTTCACTTTAGTACCCTGAATTTTGGGGGTAGTGTCAGGTTAGTATCCAAACTTTTTAATGTGTCATTGCATAACCTAAATTTTCAGTAAAGTGTTAAGTTGGTCCCCGCCATTAACCAACTGTCAGTTATTTGTTGAAAAGTGTCAAAACTATCTTTCAAAATAAGACACTATTCATTTGTCTTCTACTTTGAGATTGAATCGATTATCTTTAAAGAAAATAGAGAAAAAAAATGAAATATGATAGAGGGAAGCAATAACTAAAAGCAAAAAAAAAAAAATAATCAAATAACTAGACAAGAATGTGTTTCAAATTTAAAGGTAGAAGACAATGACTTCATTAGTCTAGAATCTCAAACATCTCAACTGGTTCAGTCTCAAGGTAGAAGACAATGAATAGTGTCTTCTTTTGAAGGGTAGTTTTGATATTTTTTCAACAGATAATTGATGATGATTAATGGCAGGGACCAACCCGACACTTTTTGAAAGTTTAAGTAATGCAGTGACACATTCGAAAGTTCAGGTACTAACTTAATACTACCCCCAAAGTTTAGGGTACTAAAGTGAAATTTTCCCAAGTATAAATTATCTATTAGGAGAATCAATGTTTTCAAAACCAAATCAGATAGGACGGTTGGACAAAAAAAAAAAAGAGAACTAGTCACTTGACCGATTCTGTTTAACCCCCAAAACTGTTGATTTGGTTAGTGAACCGCTGACTCAGGCGATCGAACCTTTCAACCCAACAACGGTTTTTGACCATTTTTTTGGGTTTTTTTAAATTTTTTATCATAATAGGTTGTTCATTCAGATCAGACGGTCGAACCATTCAACCTAGAAACCAGACTCAAAAAAGGTTGCCTGTCTAGTCCGATTTTAAAACAGAGAAGTACGAAACAGGCTCAATGCAAATTTCTGATTTCTACTGCAAAACCATATAAACATTCAAAATGTCAACAACCCCCAACCGATACCCACTCCAACTGTACCTTGAGTCTAAAAATTCTGACCCTGGCCTGGCTGAATCGTCATTCTCCCATTTTAAAAACCTTGAGGTGCCTCGATTTTAGGGTTAGGAAGATGCTTCCGAAATCCGAATTACCTGATATCGAACAATCAGCCCGGATCAGAATTTTCTAGGCCAAAAGTACAGAAAAAATGCATCTTAACGGTGAATTAATGCCAAATTCACTTTTATAGGGGGGAGAGGGCTAGTTGCAGGGGGCTGGAATTCAGAATTCTGCATCGTGTGCATCGCTACTTTTCCGTTTGATATATTGATGCGGCCCCACCAATGAAATAACGTATTGTGGGACCACAGCGATAAATCTAAATCGTTGATTGGAGTCCTCGATTTTCAACGGAACTCCAAGTTCCAAAAACGTCAGCACTGGACGGCAAAGGGATGTTACATTAAATATCTTTGCTAATTACAGGTGGCTTAATGTTTACCGTTCACGTGGCATCATAGCAATAGTTAATACATAAAATGTAGATCATGAGGCACGCCTTGTTGTTAATGATTGCAACGCATAACGCAGCCTCCAGCGTCTAGCGTTCTGCGTGCCTGCCCTTCTCAGATAAATATCAATCATCATTCCCACGCATCTCAGTACCGAACAGACAAACGACCAACCCCCGCTCTCTCTCTCTCTCTGAAAATCGTCGAAATCGCATTTTCTTCCTTTTCTTTGGTTAACAATCACTTGCAGAGAGCTGGAACGTGTGCGTTAGTGATTCGTTAGCGAGATAGAGGCAGCGAGAAAGGGCCGCTCCATGGCTCCTCATAACGACAGCACGGAAGTTGTAGAGGAGCGGGCCACGACTATGGTTGCGGACGCAGAGAATAAACCTATCTCAACCATTGTCATCATTATTGGTACTTCTAACTTTGTCCCAACTTCTAGGGTTCCTGAACTTCTCTCTGTTCTGTTTTTCTTTTTTTGGTTTTGCTTTCTTCTTATTATAGATTTTTATTCTCTTCGTTCGTTTTGTTTTGGAATGTCAGCTATGCAGACTGAAGCACTTCCGCTTGTCACCAAGTTCCAGCTTTCAGAGGACCACGATTCCTTGTGAGTTCCTCTCTCTCTCTCTCCTCATTCTTTTCGATGCCTTCTATTTCTGTCCATATTTATTTGGGGTACTCGATTGCTTCTGCCCTTTCAATGCTTTAATTTAGGTTCATGGTTCATGTTCTGTATTTTTACTATTTCTCAAGCCTAATTATTTTTATCTCAACTCCTTGTTTATTTATTTTTGCCTCCTGTATTTGTTTGGATGCCTAGAGGTATAACCTTTGGTAGGTGAACAAAGATCTCCTTGCACGTCTATTATACTAACCTTCACCTCATTACTGCTGATAAATTTTTTTCCCCGTTAGGCTTGGACCTTGCTCTCTACCAGAAGAGTTTCTTTTTCTTTGGTAATCTTCGACTTTTGGAAACTGCAGTACCAACCTGCTATTTTTAACACCCATAAGCCTGGCTAGTTGCCCGTGTGTCAAACCCTGAGCTGTTATCTTATCTTTTAAAACATTTATACAAAACTCAATGCTGCAGAAACTGGAAAATCTCTGTATCTCAGGTTACATGTTTAAGGCTTCCAGTAGTTATATCTGATTTCTTTTTTTTTTTCCCTTGTCATAACTGTTTCCATCTTTTATCCAAGGTTCAAAATATTGATATTCATATTGTGCATTTCAAACAGCGGACACTCTTTTTTTATTTATTTTTTCAGTTTGAATCATTACAGTTAAGCTTGTTAGAATGAATATTAACAATTGAAACTGTTAATATCCCCCAACTCTCGGTATTTTGCATTTTGGTGACCTTCAATACTGATACAATACACACGATACAATGCAATACATATTGATACTTTGAACCTTGCTTTTATCTGGTTTTTTCTTTATTAGAATCAGACCTAATAATCATTTACTGAGGGCTTTTCATGTCTCATATATTGTTTTCTGTGTTCTTTTTCTCTAACTTGCTAATTTTACAGGTTCCCTAAAGGGGTTCCTTGGGTAAGATACTATGGTGTTTACAAAGATCTGAATCTTAATGTAATTTGGCCAGGAAAGGATCCATTGTTGGGTAAGTATCTGCTCTCTCTCTCTCTAACTTTGACATATCTGTTGGATTGAAGTCTTTGTATGTATGAGTATTCGGCTGATAAGAGTTCTTATTAGCCCATACTTAAGTTTTAGTTGTCCTGTACTGGGCCTATGTTAATGGGCCTAATCTTGTTTAATGTTTTAAGTTGTCTGGGTGTCCCATCACTAATTAGGGGCATTCCAGTAACTTCCTGTATCATTGTACTACATCATAATATAAATAATAGTACTGTCGATTGAGCAGTTCAGTTCGACATTCACTGTATTTCAGAGTTTCTCTTCTCTCCTTTACTACTTCGAGTACAGCTCCTAAGATTACAATATCCATGAACATGCATTTAATTATTTAATTATTTTTTCAACTTTGTAAATAATGTGCCACTTCTGTTGCATTTGAAGCAGGAGATACACTTTCTCTAAAATTTTCTTTTTTGAAAGGTAAAATTATATTATATTATAAGAATCAAAAGGAGGGGGAGGTTTCCTTGATACAGAGTTACAAACATATATATATATATCTTCTTCAGCTCCAGAAATTACAAGCAAAAAGTATCATCCTTACAGACATAAACTTCCTCTAGGATTGTTATTAACTTATCGATCCATGTGAAAATTAGCATTGGTTTATCTTTTCATTTCTTATATTATATTATGTGTTAAATATAATGGTGCATTGACCATTATAAAAACTTTTTGTATCATAAAAGCATAGTTGAGTGGCAATAATAATGCTTTAAAATTCTTATATGTGCAATAAAATTAGAAGATGCTTTCAGCTCTATTAGATAGAGAATGTATGCATTTTAGATTAAGTAAACTTTTTTCTTTTTTGAGTTCATCATCTTTTGTTTCTGTATATTTCAACTTTTCCCATAAGACCTCTTTTTAAAAGTTAATATTCATGAGCAGCATAGCATGGTTTTGATAGTAGATTACCCATGGAAAAGCATTGTGTTTAATGTTTATTTTCCATTATATATTGCAAGCCTAGCATATATGATGTGTTAGTAGGCATTTGTGCTCTGCATTTTAAGTTGTGAATGAGATTAAAATGGAATGAACAGTTGTCATACAACATAATTACCTTTTCCTTTTACTTTCTACACTGAATACTTCTTCTCACAAAATTCTTGATTTCACTTCTTCTCACAAAATTCTTCTACCTGTCATTATAACTATGACCTCCATTGTTATCCTGTTATCAATTGATTTTGACTAGTCCTTGAAATTTGCTTCTCCCAGGGGTTGATAGTGTGGGCACAATTTCTGCATCTCTTGTAACATATGCTTCCATCCAAGCATTAAAGCCTGACCTTATCATAAATGCAGGCACTGCTGGTGGTTTTAAGGTGTGTTTGAAGAACCTTTAAATTCCTGTTTCATTCTGATGTGTAGTAATAATTTCTCAAATCTTTATATGGTGACTATTGGTTTGTATGCTGTTTTTGTTATTTAGGCTCAGTTTTTGCACTGCAAATTTCATTTGCATTTGTGTAAATGCATGGGAGTGCAAATGGGCTGTGTAAAATCTGGTTACTTTTACTTCAGATTTGGCTTTGCCTTATTTGTTAGTGAGAAATAAATTAAAAGGTAAAATTTTGTGGTCCCACCTTATATGAAAGAGAATGGAGGTTGGAGTAAAGTTATTTGTTTGGGAGTGATGTAGGAAGCAAGATAATGTAGTCCCCACTTTATATGAGAGGGAATTGAGGGAGGAGGAAGGTGGTGCAAATTTTGCAATGTGCTGCAAATCAGTGCTAATGAGACAAAAGTACAAATTTTGCATCAGATAGGAGTGCAAATCATAATTAGGGGTGTCCACGGTTCGGTTAACCGAACCATGGCACTTTTTTGTAAACCGAACCGGTGGTACTGGTTTTTCCAATTCTCCAAACCGAAACCGAACCGGTACCACCGGTTAACCAGTCCGTCGGTTTCAGTTTTTGACCGGTTCGGTTTTTTGGTTTTTTATATTTATAATATATATTATACAAATATATGTAATATTATATTATATATATAAATGATATATAATATATTATAAATATTTGAAATATATATAATATATTTATAAATAGATCATTATAAATATAATATAAGTATATATTTTTATATATAATGAATATATATTTATATGTAATACATAGAAAATATGTGACATATATTAAAAATATATATAAAATATACATAAAAATACGGTCGGTTCGGTTAACCRTCGGTTTTTTGTAGGTTAACCGAAAACCGAACCGGTCCTTCGGTTTTTCAAAAATCCCGAACTGAAACCGAATCGATCAGTTCGGTTAACCRCATTTTGCGGTTTGTTTTTTTTGGTTTGGTTCGGTTTTTCGGTTTTTCATGGACACCCCTATTCAGATTTTCAATGCTTTACAACTATTCAACTACGACATCAGATTTTTAGATTGTACCATGCATTTTTTTCAGTAACCTTTCGTCATGCATTTTTGCATGAAGGTACCATAGGAGAAATATTTTTACCCCAAATCTCTCATGGAAATGTACATGTGATCCAAGGATGAGCTTAAGAGGGTGGTGATTGGCTTTGTACCAGGGAAGAAAACAGACCCAAATGTGAAGTTACTGCAAGAGGTAAATTTGAAAAACAAACTTGAAAATATTGATTTAGGACTGAAAATGAGATATGGGGCTCCAATTTCTGGATAGAATGGTGGCAGGTTTGGCATTTCAGTTTCAGTCCGGATTTGGTGTATCTGAGTTTGCTCAAGTCAGGAATGAAGATTGTTGGGGACAGTACAAATGATCCTGTTGTGCATGTTTTTGTTTTCTGTTTTTCTGGTGGAGATGTTGTATTTAGGGTGTTGCCTTAACAACTATATATTTCTTACAAAAAGAAAATCTTGATAAAAAAGAACTTGTGTGTCTATTTCTGAATAGAGAGTGATTTACAAAAAGAAAATCTTCTTTTGTTCGTGATACCCTTAAAAAATTCTGTTATTTCTTTCACACCATACTGCCCAGAAAACTGCTGTGGGAAGGATGCTCCAAGCTACCCTTCCATCTTTGCTTAACCCCCTTACATATGAAGCTCCTAAAAATCCCTTCACATCATCTGGGAAGCTCATTTTCACTCTGAACAACTGCAACAATCTTACCCATATCCAGTAAAGAAATCACAACGTAGCAACATATGATTAGCAGTTGCCACAAATCCAATACACATGGAGAAGTCCATTTCCACCACCTTTATACCTCTTTTGACTAGACTATCTCTAGTCAAAATCTTATCCAGAACTGTTGACCAGACAAAAAAGCCAGTTTGGATGGTACATTTCTGACCCAAATTCTATCGCTTGGGAAGAAAGGGTGTCCTCCCTTATTAAGCTGTTAAAGGAGGGTTTAACGGAAAATTTTCCTGATTTCTCAAATCCACTTCCTTTTGTCTTCCCTCACACCGGTTGTCCTTGAGTCATACAATATCTGTAGTAAACTGATCAAAGAAGTCACCTCCCAGTCGTTTAGGTTCCTCCAGAATTGAGGATTCCAAACACCACTTTGATTCTGCCTCTCCAAACAATCAGCTACTATTGCATTCTTGTTCACAGCAATCTCAAAAAGGTCAGGATATAAAAACTGTAATGGGCCATCCCTGCACCAGTGATCTTTCCACAAAAGAAGCCTTTGACCATTCCTAGCATCATATTTCACACCCTTCTTTTTTTTTTTATAAAAAATTTCTTTTTCTTCTTTTTTATTTATTACCAAAAAAAATCATATTTCACACCCTTCATGAACCAAGGATTAATTTTCTGAATCGCCCTCCAAATTGAGCACCCATAGGATGATCTAACATCTTCTGTCTCTCAATCCCTGTTACTTGAACCATACTTGGCAACCTTTAACCTTCTCCACAGGCTATCCGGTTGCTCATTAAACCTCCACAACCACTTCCCTAAAAGCGCAATATTGACCTCCTTTAAAGATTTGATCCCTAGATCCCCTTTTACTTTGGGTTTGCAAATTGCCTTCCAATTTACCATGTGACATTTTGCTTCTTCTTTCCACTCCTTCCATAAAAAAAATTCAGAACTTGTTTTCCAAAATAGCAGCAGTTCTTGCTGGGATTGGGAATAAGGCAAATAATAAACAGGAAGAGCAGACAAAACACTTTTGATTAGTGTGACTTTACCCCCCTTTGTAAAGATTGTTGAATTAAATTGATTTGTTCAATAGAAGTGTAAAATGATATAATCAAGTTTGACTTGAAAAGGCTTCTGAATAGGTCTCAAATAACCTAAATAATCATATTCTATTAAGGGTTTTAAAACAAGAGCCCCTTTAAAACATTAAAAGAAAGGGAAAATTACAGAGAAGTATCCTGTACTTAGAGGGTAGTGACACTTAAGGGCCTCAACTTTCACTTGTGACAATGAGGTACCTAGTACTTTCAGAAATTAACACTCAGGTCCATCTGTTAGTGTTCCATCATTTATCTGGAGCTTGTGATGCCATGTGCACCTTGAAACATTTGAAAATCCCAAAACTACCCTTTGCATGCTTTATGAGATTGTTATGCCATCTCCTTAAATGAGTCTTTAAACCCTTGATCCTAACCCTTTCTTTCCCATTTTCTTTCTCAGAGTTGAATGAACAGAACGTTGAAGCAATACAACAATTCGCACATTAACTATGTCCATTTCTGTCATTTTGCAATTTTTTCTCTCAATTACTCAAACCATGAATGGGCATTTTGGTAAATGACTGAGTGTTGATTTCTAAAAGTATGAGAGGCCCTTTCTGTAATTTTCCCTAAAAGAAATAAAGGAATAACAAAGTAAAGAACTAGGAGGAGCATTTCCCAAAAGGCATCTCAAGAAACAGTTCCTTGCTGTACTTCTGATCACTGGCCGCTTGTCTTGGACACTGATAGAGTGCAGTTGTTTAAAGCTTCCTTCAGATTTGAGAGGCAATGGGTCCAYCCTGATTTCAAGAAAAAAGGGTCGCAAATTGGTGGGTGGAATACTCAATAGAGGGATGGGTAGGTTACAAATTTTCTAAGAAGCTTCAATTTGTTAAAAGGAAATTGAAGGAGTTGAGTAAGCAAAAGTTCAAATCTTTTGGAGAAGAAAAAAAATAAAGTTCTTGAAGGTATCTCCAAAGTGGATTTAAAAGAGATTTCTTGGTAGTTGACCAGAGAAGAGTTGGAAGAAAGAAAGAAATTAAGGGCTGATTGGGAAATGCTAATCCGTCGTTAGGAGATCTATTAGTCGCAGAGGTCTAGGGTCCAGTGGATTAATAATAATATTTTTTCCATAAATATGCCAATGAAGGAGAATAATTAGTTGATAAAAAAAACAAAGGAGAACAATTAATTCCGTCATGAAGATTTTGGTGAATGGCCAAGAGGTAGAAGGCCTTGGGCAAATAAGGAAAGACATAATTGATTTTGTTTATGAATGATAGAAATTTTATTAAAACATAAAAATATCACATGATTACAAGAGTGAGATAATTGATTTCCTTGAGAAACTTTATTTGATCGAGAGAATTTGGAAACCCTATTTGAGGGAGTGGACAGGTCAGACCCTCTTAGAAAATCTTAAGACATGTTTGGAAAGGAGGTCTACTGAAGATGAGGTTAAAGAAGCAGTGTTTTCTTTGAGTGAGGAAAAAGCCCCTGGACTCGATGGATTCTCTTTGGGTTTCTACCACGAATGTTGGGATTTTATCAAAGTTGATTTACTAGAGGCATTTGATGATTTATACATGTTAACTGAGGTAAATATGAGAAATAATGCTACTTTCATTAAGCTCATTCCTAAGAAATAGGGGACTTTGGGTACTAAAGACTACAGTACAAACCTATCAATCTCCTGGGGAATCTATAAAATAATAGGCAAAAGTGTTAGATTACCATCTCAAGAAAGTAGTTTGTGAGGTGGTGGCAAATACCCAAAGCACCTTCATAAGAGGGAGACAGATAGTTGACAATGTCCTCGTAGCCAATGAAGTGGATGAAATGCAAATAAAGAGTGGTCATGGAGCTGCGGTTTGCAAGCTCAACCTTGAAAAGTCTTATGATAGGGTGGATTGGGGGTGTTTGTGGAATATTTTGAAGCTGAAAGGTTTTAATGACATCTATAAAAAAAAGAATGGTTTTAGTGATAGGTGGATTGGATGGATACAAGGTTGTGTACAACCAGTTGGGTTTTCTGTTCTTATCAATGGCTCCTCCCATGGCTTCTTCAAAGCTTCAAGAGGAGTTAGGCAAGGTTGTCCCCTCTCTTTGCGACTCTACCTCTTTCATGATGATCAGAGAAGCCTTTGATGCTTTTATGGGGAAAGTCTCTGACCACTCCATTAACTAGGACTG